CAAGGGTCTCTTCATCCTAGACCTCTTCATTCTCAGCTCGGGCTTCTTCATCCCCGTCTGCGCCCATTTCCGCCTGCATGGCCTCGATCTCCTTCTTGATCCAGTCTTCATATGATTCAGGCGCCGGCTGGCTCTCCTCCTTGGATAGAATGGCAAGATCTGCGTATTTATAGGCTAGTTCCCAAACGGCATATTTCGCCTCTGGATGTACAAGGGACCAAGCCATTTTCATGCGATTCTCACAGTCTTGCTCATTGTCCTCAATGAGCCGGCTCTGCTCAACTTGAAGGGTGGCTTCAAAGTTCTGGTTGGCAGAGGTTATCTCTTTTTTCAGACGGAGCTACTCTACTTGCAGCAGGGAGTTTTCCTTCTTGATGTCCTCCAACAGCTTGAGGGACTTCTCTGTTTTCTTCGCCTCCTCCTCTGCATTGTCAAGTGCCGACTGAAGGTTGAAGATTTTGGTCTTGGCATCATCAAGGGACCTTTGAAGCTGTTTGATGGAGTCCGCCTGTTGCATGATTAGACCTTTAGTTTCTAAATCATGCACTATCATGGAATATTGGGCAACGTTATGGGCCTCAGACGCCTCTCGTTTTGCCCGTCTTACCTCCTCTTGCTTCTTAGCATAATCCTTCTTCAGCCCTTCCATGCGCAGAATGGCCTGCAAAAACACAGCCGGTGCTAGAGGACCAGATAGCATACTATGTTTATAAAACAAGTGAATCTTCAAGAACGCACCTCAACCAGGCTAACCATGACCCGATCAGCGTCGAAGGTGTTGATCCTCGGGATCACCTCCTTCTCCTCTCTTGGAATGGCCTTCAGCATGGCCCGGGTGTACTGTTATACATCCTTCTAGCGAGGGGAGAGATCTGCACTAGAAAGAGACGGTGAGAAAGGTACCTACGCCCCTCCTATAGATTGCCGGTTGCCAGAAGAGTCTTCCGGCTGGAGTTGGGAGTGTGACTTGACCCGCATGGGTTTGCCAAGTAAAGAGGGGTTGCAGGGATCAATTGTACCTTGGAAGTATGTTTGAGGGCCTCGATTTCCCTCAACCGGCACAGAAGGGCCTAAAGTCCTAGGCGGCGCAATATCCTTCGATGCCTATAGAACATCCAACCTCCCGAAGGTGAGGTCAAACCCTAGGCCAGAGTTTTTTATGCTCTTGCCCCAAACTATTATACGGCCTGGGATCGCCTGAGCAGAGCCCTTCTAGGCTTTTTTTGGAAATGGTGCCCTCGTCACCCGGCCGAGACCGGATCATCTTGGTTAGAAAGCGAGGCGCCTTGCTCCCATCCTAAGTCAAAAAGCAAGCATAATGGTCAGCTGGTATATACTTGCAAAAACTACAAAGGACTAAGGGACAGGCGTGTATACCTTGTTTTTTTCCGCCTCGCAGCTTTCTTCTTCTTCTTCTTCGCATTCTCCTTTCGGATTGCAGCGGCTAATTTAGCAGGAGTCTTGTGTGGAGGCAACATTGTTAAGGCGTTTGCTGCAAAAAAGAAACCGTCTGATTAGGTGAATACAAGAAAAATTTCGTTAAGTATGAAATAGCCAAAGCGGCATAATAATGCCAGGTGCTCCTGCAACCTACGTTTCTTAAATTGGGTGCTTAACCCACAGGCGGATAAGAATGCCTCATCTCGTAGAAACTCGTGTTTGGTTACCCAATTCTTGGGCACGCTTATTAGCTCACCGGTTGAGAGGGCGGTGGTAGTAAGTTCAAAGAACCCCGCCTCTATGATTCTCTTATAGTCCTCATCCGGGACCTGGGGCATCTTGCATTTCTGCTCAAGCAGCTCAGGCTTCCGGTTGTTGGTCCTAAGATCACGGTTCTCTTATTTTGTGGGGGCTAAAACGAGATAAAAGCGGTTCTTCCAGTCTGACCACTTAGACGGTTTATCCAATGTCATCAAATACTTGGGATAAGTGGTCAGAGTATACTAAGCCCTCCACCCGCCTGGGCTCCGGCTTAAATAGTCCATGTGAGCGAAGGCCTCCCAGCCGGGGTTTAGGCCCTGCATCTCGCAGGTGGCGATGTAGCCCAATATGTTAACCCAAGAGTTGGGGGTTAACTACCACACGCCCAGGCCGTATCCTCTTAAGATGGCCTTTATGGTATTATGTAGGGGGAAGCGGAGGCCGGCTAGAAAGGCTGCCTCATAACAGCCAAAGTACCCATTCGCATTGCGCTAGTTGTCTTCCCAGGCAATTGTCCCCATCTCAGACGGGACCCGGATGGTGTACCCCTCTCCTAGAGGCCGCATGAACAAAGTTTTCCAAGTTCCTCTCCATGCTAGCCCGGTCTTTAGCTGAGACCTGGATCAGGAGGGGGTCACCCTTATTGTTCCAAGTGGGTCTCTCCTCCTCCTCGCTATCTACAACCGGTGTAAGATAGTTGCTGCTGCTGCTTTGCCCGGAGTTCGACCTAGAGGCGGTTTCCCCGCTGCTCTCATCGCTAGAGGATTCTCTCTCCTCAGCTCTTGAGATGGAGGCGGCTTCCTCACCGCCTCCAATATCGGACCCCAGGATTCCATTTCTAGGGGTGTTAGGGGCACCTCCGAGGGATTCCCTTGTCATCTCAGCCTGGTTCGTCTCAGGCGGCAACTCTTTGGAGCTTTCTCCTTTATACTCTGGATCTACAACCGTCTTTTTAATACGAGCCATTGTGCCCGGCACTGACATAGTGACGGTCGGATTGGGAGATGAACAGGGGGAATCCCAGTACCTAGAGGCGGCTCCCCCAATCTTAGACTCAGCCGTACCAGGGGACCGGTTGACCTCTAAATCGTGGTGTGTCGGGTGTGTGGTTGGTGAGTCCATTTACTTTTAAAACCAAAGAAAGAAAAAAGAGAAAAAGACAAGCAAAAATACATGAAAGAGGTTAAGGGGGTAGAGACGGTACCTCAAAAGTGAGCTGAAAAAGTAAAAAGTGTTGACCGGCTGATAAAGCAGGCAGAATTCAGTGGATGGCTTGCAAGAGGCACAGGCGTTTAACCGTATGTACCCTCTGAGAAAAGCGAGTATTTTAAAGCCAGAACTAGTTGGTGCACAAACGGTAAATCTGTATGTGCCTCTGGAAATAACGGTGATTGCTCACAAACCCCTCAAGAGGTGTTGACCAGCTATCTCAGACGGAAACCGAATGAGTAGGGAAAAGGCAGACGGTTGTATAAGCAATAGCAGCCGGTCTTTCTCTCGAAAATTTTCTCAAATTTACAAAAGTGTGAAATGAGAGGAGGGGGGTTTCTATTTATAAAGAAACTCAAAAGGCGAACCATCGCCTCCTCATTTTAAATTCGAATTCAAAAAAAAAGGGAGGCCAAACGCCGCCCTCTTAGAGCATGACACCTGTCACAGGTGCCACGTGGCAAGCCACGTCACACCTGTGAGGGGAAAATGTTTAGGGTAAAAATACCCCCTCTACATGGTCCAATCAGGTGCTGACACGTGTCAACAACAGAGGGGTCCTAATAGGACCAATCCCCTGATGACATGTGGCACTCTGGCCCATGAAAGTAGAACTAATCTCCTTCCACTATAAATAGAGGAAAGTCCTCATTTATTGCACATTCATGCACCTTCATAAATACATATATAAATACCGAGCAATATTAATTGCAGAATCTCCCGGAATCCGAGAGACCGTTTACTTTTCTGCACGTTTACTCACTCAGACGTATTCTAACTTGACCGTCGGAAGCGGAACTCCAACCAACCGGAGTCTCCGTGCTTTTGCAGGTACAGGTGGTCGGCTACCAATTTTGGTTTTGTAACTCTCCTACAGGACACATTAGAAAACCCAGAAACATGAACAGTTGTTGCATACATGAGTGGTTGCACCCATACCAACAATCATCATTCAAAGAGACAGCAGCCATGTGCAATTCTTGGATCATACCAATATGCAAATCAGAAATCATGGCAACAATCTCATTTTCAACTTCCTCAACAACATTAGCAGCAATCACTTTTTCATCCTTTTTCTTCTGATTTTGGTTTTGATCTTTCTTGGCAGGATTTTTGCAAAAATGTTTCATATGGCTTTTCTTCCCACACTTAAAGCACTCAACATTAGACAAATCCTTCTTTCCCTTTTTATTCGAGTTAGAAGTATTGTTTAAGGTTTCATTGTTGGAGTTGTCATTAGCCTTTCTCTTTTTACCCTTTTTATTCTTCCGACTAAATAATTTACTTTAGAACCAGAAGCAACATTCAAATCCTTCTCACAATTTTGAGTTTCCTATCTAATTCGCAAGTGTTTTTGAATCTGTTTTAAAGTAAATTCTTCAGAAGTATGGAGCAACTTCTTCCTGTAATCATTCCAGGAAGATGGTAATTTGGCTATGATTCCTCCCACAATTAACTTTTCAGGAATGGTTATGTTCAGGTCTTTAAACTTTGAAATCAAAATCAGAAATTCCAATTTCTTGAAAAGAAATCTAACGAACTAAAAAAAATAAATAGGACGAGTTTACTTTATCCTTAGGATAATATTAGCCCTCCCATATAATGTTGTTGGGAACAATTATGCTAATTTACCCTTAGGATTCTCCTATTACTTAGAATGAAAATACAACATAATTTTGCATTCTCCATGGACATGAAATTTTGTGGAAACGTAGAATGAAAAAGAAAAAGATAAATACTGAAATCTTAACACTGCCAAAAAGATATATTTATAGAGATTAATATGACATTTATTTATTTATCCCAAAAAAATGTCATATAATCTTATCCGGAATTATCAATTTAATTAATTAAAAAATAAAGATTAAATTAATATAACCGGCAATGTTAAATCTGCTTAATTAACCGCGCGCGTGCCACTTGCCTCAGTACTAAGTACTAGTCTATGATTAGTAAATATTTTGATAAATATACTACTAATCATCCACTAACAAAGCCATAACCAAAGTCCAATCAAATAGGCCTAAAACAAATCAATTATACATAGCACACTCAAGTTAATAAAGACATCCAATATATCTTAATCTTTCTATATGTAGGAGAAAGTTTCCACTTTAAAACTCATATATTGAAGACTATACATAACAGAACATGTAAAACTTGCAAAGTACTCCCTCATCCGGTCATTGTTGGTCATTTATCCGGTGGTAATATGCTACCCTAGATAAACTCCCTATTTTTTTTAATCAGAGTATCTAATCACAACTGGACAAACCAATGGGAGTACACCTTGGTAAACAAAAAGCCATCATTACATTTCACAATACCTGGAGCACGGGAAAGCTATCAGCCTTTACAACAAAGCTTCCTAGAGAAGCTTTCTTCACTTTTATATTCTCTGGAAAAAAAAACAAAAAACAGAGCACCCCCCCCCCAAAAAAAAAAAACATTCGAAGCTTTTCTATTTGAAGAAGATCAAGCAATTTAATGTCATGGACTGTAGGACCATTTGAGAGCCCAACCGCAAAAGCACGAAGGCTGTGCTCTTCAGAAGGTATATTCATCTTCTTGTACTTTGTTTGTCTTGTTTTATTTAATGGCAAAGAAGGAGCTTATTATATTACAAGCAATCTCTATGCGGTCCTTGCTTTACGACTTAAGGTCTTTGTCTCTAGCACGCGACTCTAATAGAAACAAATAGTAAGTTCTCTACTCTATTTGCTAGCATGTGTGGGTTGAATTAAATTTTGAAAATTTTGCTTTGTTTGTGTGAATCTAACTCAGATTTTGTGTAAAGGACCTTGTGAAAGGGTAAATTACATAGTTGATGATCTTTTTTTTTTTGTTGGTTTTTGTTATTAAGGTTTTGAAATTTAGAATTACACTTAGGGTTTTAGCAAAAGGGTGGGGCCTTTGATTGTGGGTTGGAAAGTGAGTATGCCCTTAGTTGATTATACCTTGACTTGTGTCCTTGACCTAGGTATGGAAGCACTGGCTGACTCACACCCCCTTTGGAGCCAGCATGATCTCCTTGTCACCCACCTCTTTCCCAAGCTTGACTACGGAGGAAGACTTGCTGTGTAGCGCACCTGCGTCAAGTGGAAGCTGTCGTGGCGTCTCCGCAACTTTGCACTAGGGCTTCTGTCAACGAGTGGATCCTCCACGACCTTGTCTACAACGATGGTCGTGACTTTCACGCCTGGATCAACAAGGACATGACTGTCTATTTTGATAGTTTCCCCCTGTTGTTCAAGGAAGAGTAGGGTGTTTGTAGGTGGGGGGGGGGGATAAGTGAGTAGCTAGTTGTTTTTGGAGTTCCACTACTCTTTTTGTAAAGTTTTTAAAGTTGTTTTAATGATATGGGTTTTTAGATTATTGTCATGGTATGGTAGCATTAGAGTGACAAATTTGGTATAGGTTTTTGTACTTTGTCACTATGACAAGATAAAGTTGTATCACCTAATCAAAAGTAATTCCTAAAACCACTAACTAAAAATAGATAGGGAAATAGGGTCGAATCCACGGGGAAACAATGTTCTTTTATTTTTAATAAATTATTATAATCTAAATTATCAAGTAACAAATATGATTTTATGTAAATTAATCAAAGAGAACTAATTAAGCAAATCAAATAAAACTAAGAGAATATTAAATAAATAAAAGCCTAGGGCATAGGTTCACCAATAAATAATATTCCGGGATGGAAGACGACAATCAATTATCAATGCATAAATTAACTTTCGCTACCTATTACAATCACAGAATTAACTTAGCGGTATTAAATCGCATCTCTCGAATCTTGACTTAACAATTTATAAATTAACCTGCCTATTGAAACTAAGCCTAAATATCAATTCTCATTTGTCGAATCTCGAATCAATATTGCATAACTCATACAATTAAACCAACGATAATCTAATTGCATAGCATTAAATCAATCAATAGGAAATTAATCTGAAACATTAACAATCAACAATAATAAATCATCCCTTCATATTATTCGTGGATCCCCACAATCCTAGAAATAAACTACACATACATAATTAAAACTAAACTAACCCAAACAATTAAAGGAAGCATGATTAAAAGCAATAAGCAATTAAATAAAACAATTATTGTTTGGGGGTTTTTTATGTGTCCTGTGGGAGAGTTACAATTTCCTAATATGCTCCTTCCAGCGCCTGTACCTGCACAAATAACGGAGACTCTGGCTAGGGGGGTGGGAGTTCCGCCTCCGAAGATTAAGTTAGAACCTTTCTGAAGAGGAAATAAGAACAATAAATGCTTCTCGATTGGAGAGCGTTTTGCAATGGGTTTTGTGTTTGGTTGGTTGTGGGAAATATTCTCGATCCCCATAAATGAGGTCTGCCCCTACTATTTATAGTAGGGGAGAACTGTACCTCAATTAGGGTACAATGACACGTGTCGCAAAGGGATTGGGCCCTTGCTGACCGTTGCAAGCTTGACACGTGGAAAGCCTTTATAGGGCCACGTGTTTTAGGGGTATTTTTACCCTAAACAATTATATAAAGCATAATAAAAACAATAATGATAAACTAAACATGAAAACAATAAATTAAACAAAAGCAAAACAAAAGTATTAATATGACTATAGCAATAAACTAAACTAATGAAAAACTAAACTAATGAAAAACTAAACTAATAAAAGAACAAAACTAAAAACTAAAACTAAAACTAAAACCACCTAACCCCTCTCCTACGTACTGCTACATCCTTTTTATAAGGATTAGGAATCTTATCTTAATAATAAGCCAAGGAAAAACTAATCCCAACCAAACTAAAACTCCTAAACAAAACCCAAGGAAGCTAAATAAAAAAGCTGCGGAAAATCCCATCTAAAGGCTGCCAAATAATTGGGCCATTATAATAGCCCATTAAATACAAAGCAACTACTGCAGCATAGCAGCAACATGCACGCCCCACCGGGATTGGGCCGCCCGGTTTCTTCTGTGAACGCTAATCAGATCCTTGGGCTCAAAGTTCTTCTTTGGTCCGTGGAACTCGTAAAATCTTGGACCTTTTCATGTATCGAGTCCTAATCACCGATTCAAATTTCTTTAACTCGGTCTTGGGCTTTAAATATACGATCATAAAATACAATCAAACTTCAATATCTTCGTAGTGACTCAATAAGCTCGAGAATTGACATAAATCTGCAAATTCCTACAAAATAATACCAACTCTACAAAAATACTAGAAAACGTATGTTAATAATAAAAATAGCTCCGCAGAGCTCAAATAAGCACAAATATGACCACGAGACAGGGGATAAAAATAAATATAAAATGGACTCATCACACTGCCATGACAATGTAAGTAATTATGTAATGGCTTCTTAGTAGAGGCCTAGATGAATGTAATGAACTAATCTTTTGAAATGAATGATGAATGATAACTACTTTTATGATTTGAATTATTCTTGGATTCTATGAGTACATTATTTATCATGATCTTTTGATTATGCACTTATGTAGCATGATCCATTTATTAATAGTATTAATTAGTTGTGAACAATATATGTTGTGTGTGTGGTAAAATCTTTTGTTATGTTGGTTCTTTTACAGAAAAACAAATGTCTGAGCTTAGTCCATGCATAATAGTTCACCATGGTGGGGAATGGTTAGATGGTAGTGATAAAAAGAATTACAGTGGTGGTAGAGTTGGACTATTTGATGACATTCCAGAGAATATACGTAGATGCTACTTATGTGAAGCAATTGATTGAGTCTTTGGGATACACTAATATAGTCAAGCTCCATTTTTAGGATCCAAGGAAAACAGTAAAGGATGGAGTTAGGTATTTGGGATTTGAGAGGAGTACAATTGATCCTTTTCTTTCTTTGTTGTTAGAGTATATGGTCATTCATTTGTACATTGAGAATGAGTGTGGAAGTGCTGATTTAGGTGGGGGTTCTTTCTTGAATATGTTGATTTAGGTGGGGGTTCTTTCTTGAATATGTTGACTGGTGGAGGGGTTAGAAGGTCTAATCCTAGGGTTAATACTGTGAATGAAGTAGATTATGATAGTAAGGGAACTGATGAGGATGATATGAAGTATGTTAATGCAGAGTAGGCTTACTCGGGAAAAAAATAGATCAATTATCATTTGAGGAAGAGTTAAGTATGCTGCAGAGGGTTGTTGAATCTAAAGGCAAAGAAACACTGAATATTGGTGATGATTGGGAAGGAGGGAGTAATAATGATAGGTGTAGTGATTACTTGTTGCAGTGGCTGCAGTGTTCCCTAAAGTAGAGACTAGGGTGTGTGCTAGGCATGTCTACTGCAATTTCAGGTGGGGGTTACCTTGAATTCAGGAAGTAATTCTGGATAATTGCAAAGAGTTTAACTGAGAATGATTTCATGGCTGTAGACACCTAAAAGTGTCTCCCCAAAAATCAAACCCGATGATGAATAACCTTTCTCCGCCATTATTGGTCGGGTCGAGTACTTAATCTCGGGAGTGCTTAAAATCCACATTTAGTCAAACACAGCTTAAAAATCAGTCAACAAATCAATCCAAACATTTATTCATAATCAGTCCAACCTATATTTCAACCCAAACCCTTTTTAATTCATTTCGTGTTATTCATTAATTAAACCCGATTAATAAATAATAAAACCCTAAGCCTGAAATAAGTCTGGAAAAGCTGAAACGATGCCTAATTATCACGTGCTTAATGCTTAAGTAAAATATATAAATGAATCTGGACGGAATTATGGAAAAGAGATTTGTCGCGTTACGGTAAAAATACCGTGCCACAACAATCTTTGCAGCATCACGGTATGCCGCGCCATGTCGCAGTATATTGCACCGTGACGCGGTATTTTTCTTAGGCTTTTTCCGCGGCGCTTTTCATTTCTAGGGTTTAATGCTTTGCCCTACTAATTTCTTCTATAAATACGAGGCTGATTTCATTAGTTTCGGGGCACCAAATCATTCTCTCTTCCTCTCATATACACCAAATCATTCTCACTTTATCTCTTATGCTCTAGCCTAAACACTAGCCTTCCCTATTCTCTCACAATACATCCCCTAAGCACTCCCCGGAGTCTGTACTTTACCCGATGTTCTAAACTTAAACCAAAGCGTGAAAGGTAGAACTGTTTGAGGGTTTGGCCCCAAATCAACTCTACTTTAATTTAATTTAATTTCCATTTATCGTTTAATATTTTCCTTGAAGTTACTAATGTGTTTATTGTTTTATAGTTGCAAGAAAACGCGATCAAAGTAAGGAATCATGTTCCTTTTGTTCTTATTATATTTCTAACGATTTTTATTATGTTTATCATGTATTAATTGTTAGATCTATTGTTAAATTGCTTCTAATATTAATGTTTATTCTATTGTTTTTTTGTTGATCAACATATTGCATGTTTAAAGGGAATATATAATTGAATATAACGCCTAATAAGATAATTTGGACAACCGGTTTAGGTTCCTTTTTAATCTTATTATTTAATCAAGTGATCACCAATAATTAGAATTATGTGTTGCATGAATAATCAACCAATTCAACATAATTATAGTTTGGAGCAAATTGAATCTTTGTTTGCATGCCTTTGAGATCGCAGGAATACTTTTTACGATAAGAATCGAGTGGAGGCCAATACGGGCGAATGTGATTCCATGACTCACTTTGTAACATCATCCCCAATCCTCCTTTAGTGGTTCCGAACCATACGGAGTTAGTAATCTCATGGATTATGAACGGGGTGTAACCTTCAAGGGTCAATCGTTGTTATCTATCGTTGTCCCTTATTCGTGGTTGCCCTAAATGATCTGTGAACGGTTTACAAGTTCCTTAATTAAAAACTTGTTGGTGGCTCCCTACTTTTCTTTGTCCCTAATTGTGTCCCTAATCGTATTATGTCAATTCCCATTTCCTATGAGTGTCAAACGTATTCACAACATGTTTACGTAGGTGCGGTTTGAATGACGCCCACAATTTGGCGACTCCACTGGGGAGGATTCTTTGTTACTTATCAATTTGAGTGATCGGTATTGAATTGAGATGAGTGGATGAGACTTGAAAGATTCTTGAATCGTATTCTTGTGATTAATTTGGCATTTTTGCATATGCATTAACGTATTAACGTTGTATTTAGGTTCGCCTCGTAGGAAAAATTGAATAACCTGATCGCGATAGAAAAAACAGAGGCACAGATTAAATTTCTTGACTATCACGCAACAGAAGAACTCCCGTGGCACGGTAGAGTTTGCCGTGACGTGGCAGAGTTTGCCGTGACGCGACAATCTTTACCGTGACACAACAATTTCTGGCGTGGCGCGGCAGTCCTGGATTATGGTGGGTTATTGATTTTTTTTAAGAAATAATAATATTATTAACAATAATAAATAT